AGAAGATGCTGTTTGTTTGCAGAATCGCAGACTGAAGAAGTCTTTTGGATAAAAGATTAAACGTTTCAACAAAGAAGAATCCATCCAGAGGACATGACTTAACCTTATTAGATTTTTCTACATGGATAATTGAGCGTGCATCAGGACGTCCTCGTTGTGGTGTCATGGCCCACTATGGGCTACCAACCCCAACTTTAGAAACCACTTTACTCAACGGTATTAACATAAAACATGTGATGTTTGATCAAACTGAGCATGCTTTAATTTAACACTGTCTGCATCACGGCACGCTGGATTTGATGCATTCTTTTAAATTAACATAAAATCAGCCTTTTAGAAGAAAACCGGGCTCAGACGTTTGTGTGGTCCAAACACAGCCAACAGCATGGAGGAGTCATGTGAAAGGTTAGCATCATGAATTCAAGGAAAAACGTTTGACGTAAACCACTGTGAGTGTGGGAAGGACTTTTTAAGAAACAGACCGCAGTCTGTGAGGATCCACAACTTCTCCTCCGCTACCATAACCCTCAGCACTGGCTCCCCTCAGGGCTGGGTGTTGAGCCCTCTCCTGTTCACTCTGCTCACCTATCCAACCAAGCTGTCATATTGTAAAGTTTGCAGATGATACAGCGGTGGTTGGATGCATCAAAAACAGTGATGAGTCCAGCTACAGGCAGGAGGTGGAACACCTGCAGAGTTGGTGCAGGAAGAACAACCTTCACATCAATGTGAAGAAGACAAAGTAGTCGTAGTCGTAGATTTCAGACAGAACAAACACACCTACACCCCGCCAAGGATCTGCAGTGGAAGTGGTCTCCAGCTACAAGTACTTGTGTGTGCACCTGAACGACAACCTCAGTTGGGGCAACAACACTACCAGACTGATCAAGAAAGCTCATCAGAGACTTTACTTCCTCAGGCGGATGAGGCGAGCTGGTCTGGGAAGCTCAGTCTTCACCTCCTTCTACAGGTGTGCAGTGGAGAGCATCCTGTGCTCCAGCATCAATGTGTGGCATGGAGGCTGCACAGCTGCCGAAAGAAAAGCTTTGCGGTGAAGGTTGCACAGAAGACTGTTGGAGTCAGCCTCCCCACCATCACAGACATCTATTCAATTCAATTCAGTTTATTTATATAGCGTCAAATCACAACAAAGTTGTCTCAGGGCAATTTACAGGAACATTCACATACAAAAAAAAGCCAATTAATAAAGTTCTCTATCTAAGGAATCCAGCAGACAAGTTGAATCTTGGCTTTGTTGCAGTCTCCCATGCTGAGCAAGCACAGTAGCAACAGTGGAAAGGAAAACCTCCCTTTTAAAAGAAAGAAACCTCCAGCAGAACCAGGTTCAGGACAAGCGGTCATCTGCTTTGACCGGCTGGTTTGAGAGGACAGGAAGGAGAGACAGACGAACACAGAATGGTAGGTCCAGATATAGGTCCAGGTGGACCTGAAAGACAAAAAAAACACATGTTAAGGATAGAAAAAATAATTACAAATACAAAACAGGTTGAGCAGGAAGAGGGCCACCTGCATCATGAAGTACCCCACTCACCCAGCACACACACTTTTTGCCCCGCTCCCCTCAGGAAGGAGGTTAAGGAGTCTGTAATTTGGTTAAGGCCAAATGTGGCCCTCGTTGACATCTTTTCTGGCCCCCAAGATATGTGAAATGTAAAATACTTCTATCTCTTGAATTTTTTCAGTAATCTTTGATTATGACGTTGAAAGCACAACAGAGAACATCAAATGAGACCAATCAAACTCTTGTCGAGGAACCTGTGACCAAGAAAAGATGCTGGGTATCTGATTTGAGTTAATGTACATTCTGAACTGGCCCTTAGTTCGAAAAAGATTTTAATTTTGGCCCCCTTTTGTAAATGAGTTTGACACCCCTGCACTAGACTGAGGAACAGCTTCTACTCTGAAACTGTTAGACTCATGAATATCTAACCAGGATAATCACTGTGGGGGAAAAAATCACCGTAATGCCACTTGATTGTTGATATGTGCTGCTGACTATCTATGCTGCTGATCCCATGCTGCTGATTTATTCCATGCTGCTGTATTCATTCGTACTCATCTGCTCACACAGACTCATGTTCGTGCTGCTGTTATTCGGCGTATTGAGTAAGTGTTTAGCATATTCTTAGTTTTAGCATATTTCTTAGTTCATATCTTAGATCTTATTACTGTTTTTCTTTAACAATTTATACATTTGTTGGATGTAACTGGGACCCTGTGTACACAATTTTGTTCCACCTCATGTACCACAGGCGATGCAAATGACAATAAAGAACCTTGACCTTGAATTAATCTGTAGGATATTTGCCATCACCTCACGCAGCTTTGCAGTCTGACGTGAATAAAATCCTTTCCCCTTCATTTAATTTTCACTTGTGGTTTTGGGGCGTGATCTGCTTTTACGACCCTAAACATTATTCTCCATGTCATCCCTGTTTTATTTGTTTTCAACTTAAATAAATCAAAGCTGTAGAGCAGAAGCTGGTGATGAGTCCCATCTTTGTTTCAGCTCAATATAAAGGACACAAAAACTAATTTAATAATCATGTTGAGCAAACATAAAGTTACCAAACTCAATAAAATGTTTTTATATGTTCTGTTCTTCAAGTTCAGTTCTTCACATAAAACATGAGGATGGAAAACGTTTGCTTTAATGCTTTAATAATTTTTTTTTTTAAAGTTTTAACAGTTTTCCTGACAGTACGAGTCAAAAACAGTTTATAAACATGAATTATATCTGACCTGCTGCAAAGTGACAACAACAAATGACCACGTTCAGTTTTTAATCTTGCATTCAGTCAGAACAAGACATTGTTTTGGTATCCATTTAGTATTTTTCATGTTTTGGTGTTTTATTGATCAAATAAAATAAAACCGCTTTCATTCAGTCACCCAGTTTATTGGGTCAGACTTTTAAAAGAAATCCAACAAAAACAGCTTTTAGCGTCAGAATGCAGCCGAGTCAGGCTAAGAATAGAAATGGTCTGGGCTGAACCGAGCCCACGCTCGACCACTTCCTCCTCATAGTTGAGGCCGTCGAGGAGCTGGAGCCCAGCAACACCTCAGAAGTGTGTCATGGAGTCTGGTCTGGAACTTACGCCCACGTTTGTTTTCTGCCTCAGCTTCAGAAACTGGAAAGAAGGTGCTGGACCTTCAGCACAGGTCCAAAATGTTCTCTGGCTGACAAGCTTCACTTTGAACCTTTCAAACAACAAAAACAACCGTAGTCTCTTCTGACAAATAAAACGTTGCATTAATTTATACTCATTCCTCTGGAGCCTCCGCTTGTGTGTCAGGACTCAGATCTGGGCCCCAGCCAGCACCACACGAGGTCAGCTTTACGTGGAGCTACAATCAGCTGCCAAACCTCAAACACAAGCCTGAAGTCCCTGAAAACAATCTACTTCAGTCATGTATAGTTCTTGCATGAAAACCCTGATTTGTTGCCCTTTAAAGAACGTCTCGGTCCGGCTGTGAAGGTGTTGATTTTCACCACATCACGCTGGCTGAAAGAAACATTCTGATTTAATGCTGAAGTCCACATGACATTCTGCTGACGCTGGGCTGCAAATGGAAACGTTGACAGCAGAGTAATTAATTTATCTTTGGTTCAAACAGCATCAAAGAGGAGTTCTGATGGAGAACACGAGAACGTCTGGACGTTTCCACCGCGGCCTCTGACCTTTACGTTTGTAATGGTCAGAACGCATGAAGAAAAACAAAAGTGATTAGAAATAATAAACTCAAAACCAAACAAGAGGCTGGGGCGGCAGCAGAAAGACAACCGAACCTCGAGGGAACACGAAGACAAACTTGACACACAAAAAAAATAGAGGACAAATGGACTGGGGCTGATGGGCAGACTGGACACCTGGGACAGGTGGGAGTGGGCGGGGCTGTTTGCACTATATTAAATCTGTCTGTTCATCAGACATAAACTGGGAAAATACTGAACTCCATCAGTTGTTTCATGTTGGAGAAATAAAAGATGTCCCAAAATTTCCCCGCTGTGGAATAACATTTAGACATTTACTTTACGTGTCTTTTCCTGGATGGAGCAACTGCAGCTGGAGGAGAAACCAGGAGAAATAAACAGATTACCACGGTCGCATCAGGCTGTGTGTCTCTAGTTGACACTGGGGCATTGTTCATGTCAGAGGACTGAAACAAATGTCTTCTTAAATGAAAACCTGCCAACAGTCTTATAAAAACATGTTTCAGACTGCAGCTCCACTTTTTCCTCAGAAAAAAAAAGAATAGTTTATGACACACTTATTAAGCCATTAATAAACAGTTATAGTGGGTTAGATCAAAACAACAATAAAGACTTGATCATGTTCATTCATGAGGCATTATTTATCCCCACTGCTTCTCTGCGTTCTTCGTTATTTAAATGTTAAATATTAAACATTATCTTGGAAGCTATTTATTATGTGGTTACAAAATTTATGCTGAGCAACTAACAATAAAAACTACATTTACGTGAACAAACAGAAGTTCATACAAGTTTAAATTTGTTTTCATGTCTCATGTTCTTTGATGGACGTTTTAGTTTGTTTTGTTTTTATGTATTTGTTTTCTGTGAGGAGGGAGAAAGCAAAATGAGAACTTCCTCACATCTCTGTGTATTTGACAACAAACTTCTTCAATGTTCAATGAACAGTGCTTAATAAATGATTTAAAAAGAGCTTAATCTCATAAATTACCGGGTTATTAATAAACATTTTACTGAAAAAGTGGTACTTTTCTGGTTCCGTTTGTTTTTTGTGTTCTCCTTTTGGGAAAACAATAACACTTGAGTGTAAACAACAAAGCTTGTTGTTTGTTTGTTTTTCAGATTTTTAAGGAAAATCACAGAGCTTTGGAAAGAAAGCACAAGGAGGCGTGGTCTGTGGGCCTGCGGTAACGGTTGCCTCTGATTGGTTGTCCGGCTAGCCGGAGGTGTTTAAATAGCCAATCACAGCATAGTGAGCAGTATGAACGGAAGCTGCAGTGTAGAGCGGATCTCTCTTGAAGGAAGGCCGTGTCCGAGTCACAGCTCGTGTCCCAGCTCTTACCTTACTCTCTCAATCTGAGCAACATGGAGGAATTAAGTAGTTGACGTTTTCTTCTTTTTTAAGCTGTCTTCCCGTCAGATCATTGTGCATCTCACCCGGTTTTATTGACGTTTTGAGCACTTTTTACGACCCGAACCATGAAGTACATCATCGGAATTGGCGGGTAAGTTTTTAGCTAATGAATGAAAGCTAAGCTAGGCTAAGCTAACAGGCTAACAAGCAGCTCGAGGCCCTGGAGGGACACGTGGGGCAGGCAGGCATGCCATCTGTTCAACCCGTTTTGTGTCCGAATGCTGAAATGCTTTCTTACATGAAACGTGTAACTTGGCCAACAGTTTTATCAGTTTAAACACTGCAGCTAAGCTAACGTTTGTGAATAAGTGTAGTAGGGAGCAGCCCCACCCTGTATTACATAAAGTCTGTACAAACGTACATGCTATAATAATACGTGATATTTGAGGCCGTTTTGTTGTTTCAGAGTTACAAACGGAGGGAAAACCACCCTGACCAACAGACTGATCAAGAACCTGCCCAACTGCTGTGTGGTCCATCAGGATGACTTCTTCAAGGTGAGCCTCACACACACAAGATGCCCATCCTGAGCTGTAGTCCGCTGAGAGGGTGAAGGTGCTGAATACAATACCCCATCAGTATCAGAACCTTCCAGATAGCAGTGTGGAATGTACTCGGGTACATCTTATCATGTATGTTTCAGCCCCAAGATCAGATTGAAGTTGGTGAAGATGGCTTTAAGCAGTATGATGGTAAGCCTGGGTTTTTATGAAAGGCTGTGTGTGTGTGTGAGGGGTGGTAGGGGTGGTGCGTGTTTGCTTTTAATTGTAACGTTTGTAACCAGCATGCAATAAGGACAAAGTTAAAATCCTCTGTACGACTCACTTTCTCTTCGATTTTGTCTATACGTCCCTTCCTGCCTACTCTTCCTCTGCAGTCATCACTTCTCTGGACATGGACGCCATGATGAGCACCATCCATGCATGGCACGAGAACCCGGTGAAGTTTGAAAAGTCTCATGGCGTTAATAACACCCTGGATACCGAGATCATCCCCAAGTCGGACCACAAGAAGGAGGAGGAGACTCACATCCTGATTGTGGAAGGCTTCCTGCTTTACACCTACGGGTAGGAGCTCTGCTGTACCTCAGTGTTTAAATGTAAAAAAAAAAAAATTTGTTGAATAAAGAAGCTGATGGGTGTTTTGTTTAAGGCCTTTGATCGACGTGCTGAACCAACGATACTTCATTTCCATCCCATATGAAGAATGCAAAAAGAGGAGGAGGTAACTGCTCAGACAGTGGCTTTTGTTATCTTTGAGCTCTTGTCTTTTTTTTATTTATGTTTTTATTGGTGCTTTTTGTGTCTGCAGCTCCAGAAACTACATTTTTCCTGATCCCCCTGGTCTGTTTGATGGCCATGTGTGGCCCATGTATCTGAAACACAAGAACATCATGGAGGAATCAGGCGTTGATGTTGGTAAGTTGACATTTCTTCAAGTATTTCAGTGTTTTCCAAATGTTTGTATTGATGAGGCGTGCGTGTCGTTACAGTGCAGCTAGATGGAACCATGTCCAAGGAGCAGCTCTTCAACTCCGTCTACGGGAACATCCTGAACATCATGCAGGAACCTCTCTAACAAAGGTACCAAACCCACCTGGTACCTGGGCTAGAAATTATTGTCTTGTTGCTGCTCTGACTGAATGTTGTTTCTGCAGGTCATCCGATCGGCTATACAAAGCGTTTACTCCATTTGCAACCAGAAGACCAACTTGCCTTAACTTCCTACCAGGCAGTCGTTCAGTTTGACTGTCATCTTTTTTTATTTTTTACGTCTGTTTAGCAGCATAAGATGCTGAGATGATTTTTATATCCATCATATTTATTGCTTTGTCACAGGAAATGTTAGAGGATGGTTGCACATGTCAATAAATGATCCTTCTGCCAATTTTGTCTTGGACTTACTTGTAACTGGGTCCTGTTCTGGGTTGGCCCGACCCAGTGGGGCACTTGGAGGTCCTGATAGCTGCAAGTTTTGACCTGGTGGGTTCAGACGGCGTCTCTATCTCGCTTGCTGCCAGCAGCTGCTCTCTGATAAGTGACGTCACCAGAATGAACCTCATGACCTCTACATGTTCTGGTCCTAACTCGTGCAGACAGATTTCTGTGGAACTGCTGCGAACAGGACTTCACTTTAAAAACAGGAAATTTAATGTAAAATGACTGTTGCGGTCATGAAATCCATTAGATGTAATTTGGGTTCCTGAAGTGGAATAATTTGACTAAAGTGGAAGCTATTTTTAGTCACGAACACGTGGGAGGAAAATAAATTGCCTTAATTTAAGCAAACAAACAAAACGTCTGCACTCTATGGTTTTATTCTGTCATTTTGTTGACATGCACCAAAATAAAACTTTCTGGACCTGATGCTTGAGGTTCGGAGGAACAATTTGCTGTGTCTCGCATGAGATCAAATATTACTGTATATTAAAAGTATTTTTTTAAATGTACACTTTTTTTTATTTTATTTTTTTTTTTAAAAGCTTTGCTTCAGTGAATAGTCCACAGTTCAGGATATCACGTACTGTAAATTTTGTTTATGTACATCATATTGGAGGAGGAAACATTGGGACAAGCCTGGTACTTGAAGATTTAGTTTGGACCAGAACCATCAAGATATGTAGACTGACTACTGAACAGAAGTTCTGTATTTTTAGTTAAATTTAAAAAAAAGAAATTGCCAGAAAAGATGAAACTTCTCCATCTGAAAAATGACATGCAGCACAATATCAGCCGTCATGTTTCTGGTCGAACTTCACAGAACCTCTCGCTGGATAAGTTTGTTTCTGTTGGACCAAAAGTTGCTTTCAGTTTGGAGAAAATTAATTTTTTTTCTGTTTGGGTCCTGAGACTAAAATAAAACTACTGTTTTTGACTGTTCTGGACTGCCATGAAACCACTACGGTTCTGAGTGGGACAGTTCTGGTTTGAACTGGATCTTGTTTGCCTGACTCACCTCTCCACCCTCACTTTGTCCAGAAGCAGAGGAAGCTGCAGAAAAACAAGGCCATAAATTCTTTGAGTCCAACACTTAGGGTTTGGACCAGAACCTGTCCACCTCACAGGTCAGACAAGACCAGAGCAGCCGGTCTGTCCAGAACCACCACCTGAAAAGGTTAACGGGTCGGTCGAAAGATTCTGCAGAACTGAATTTAGAAAAACAAAATAATCCTTTAAAGGTAAAGTCCCTCTACAACAGAACCACATGTGCATTAGTATTCACCCCCTGTGTTAATAGAGCCACGTGCATTAGTATAGGCCTATCACATTTTTATTTTATCATTAAGCAAATGGCAAGTGTACAACAAACAAATATATATTGTATATATTGTGTATACAGAAGAACACAACACACGAACAAACAACCAGGGGTGTTAATTAGACAAAGATTTACAGATAGAGGGCCTTTTTGTTGGTAGTCTTATTAATTTAACATAGTTCCACTTCCTTAATAAAATGAAGAAAATGTGGCATTTTGTTAATAAATTTGCATTTATAAATGTTAAATTTGTCCAAAAGAATTAGCAAGTTTATTAAAAAAAAGTTTAAAAATTATATTTAAAAAAGTTTATTAAACATTTAGCATCCTTTCTGGGGAATCTAGAAAAACCAAAACATTTTCCCAACTTAAGGAAAAATCCCTTAAAATATGGTTATTAATAAACCTGCTAAACTGGATCCTTCCAAAACCTGTGTGTGAAAGGGCAGTGCCAAAATAGGTGTCACAGTTTCTGGAAGAGATTCAGAGAGATTAATTTGTCATACACGCCACACGTGGTGCATAAGGTGGGATGAAACTATGTACACAGGATCCCAGTTACATCCAACAAAAACACAAATTGTAAAGAAAAACAGTAAGACGTTTTTCTTTGGGGGTCACCACAAGGTCCCAAAAACTGCAATCAAAAATTTTACCATATAATGTTTAGTGGGGTAAATTTTATGAATAATTTAAAATGACACTTCCTTCACCTTATTTACAATTAAATATTTATGGGGGTTGTCATCCTGTCTTCCAGTTGATATCCAGGATATAACAGCTCCAATAAGATGTTATATATGGACGAGAAGCAATGCTTTCCTGGAACAACAATCTCTTGTTGCTGTTACCATGCTCCTGAGAAAAGCAGATTTTCCCTACTGATGACTCAGCTGGACCAAGGACAGCATGGAGTAGACAGAGAACTGTTAGTGTTTTTAAACAGTATTAAGGTGCCTGAGGGTATAGCACTAACCATCACTGAGAATTCTTGGAGACTAACTGGGAAATTATATAGTGAGCAGATATCATTGTAAGTGAGTAGTCGTCCTTCCTTATTAACCAGATGAGCCACCACCATTACTATATCGCATGTGCATTCACCCCCGAGTTACTAGTATTAGTATATTCATTCCCCTGAGTCAATAGAACTACCTCTAGATCTCCAGCCATTTTACACATCTACAGTCTGAAGTTTTGACCCATTCTTCTGTGTAAATCAGCTGCAGCTCAGTCTGATTGGACAGTGTCTGTGAACAGCAGGTTTTAAGTTGTAGCACAGTTGGACTCAGGTTCTGGACCTTTTGACCCATTCCATTCTAGATCAGTCTGGATGTTTGGGTAGTCGTCCTTCTGGAAGGTGGAGCTCCGTACCAGTCTCAGGTCTTCTGCAGACCAGTGGCAATTTTAGCTTTGTTTTGGGGGTGCTCAAGCACCCCTAAATTTTAACTCGGCACCCCTGAAAAGTAAAAGTATACAAAATAAATAATTATATATATATATATATATATATATATATATATATATATAT